CACACACTCACACACACTCACACACTCACACACACTCACACACTCACACACACTCACACACTCACACACACTCACACACTCACACACTCACACACACACACACACAGAGAGAGGACCCAGTGACAGTATATCAACTCACTCCATGTAATATTTATATATTGTATAGAAAAATTAGCGTATACGATCTCTTATATCTCAAAGATACTGCATTCAAACATATTTAATCACATATTTAATGTATTATAATTATGGACACAACTGCAGCGTATTTTAATCAAACCAGTTGTTCTCAACATACTGGCGGACCTTCAGCACCACGAGTGCGTGGACAGCGCAGCTCGCTCGACGCAACGTAACGTAACGCGCGCGCCCCCACATTAATGCATTTTTCCTACCGCTCTATTTCACGCTCCTCGTGCTGTCCGTTCCTCCCAGACCGGGAGTGACGTCAGAGGCGACCGGAGCGGCTGCTCGTGCTCGATGAAGTCGAGTTCAGCGGGTCTGTGGAAGACAAGACGGAGTGAAGGCAGGACGCGCCAGACGTCTGGGAAGCTGGAGAACCGGTGGGTTTGCGTGCATGAAAACGAACAGTAATATTGACCTGCTTAATGATGCACGTTCATTTGAATAAATGCTTATGGATGATGCACGTGAGGATGCTGGGCTGGGTCGCGTGACTCGCACGCATTCCGATACAAGACCAGACCGAATTGATGCACTTTCACTGGGTCACTTCTGTGGCGCGTGTAGATGTTTCTCTCAATAATAACTGCATCATAAAACATGTAAACGAGAAAGCATCAGCAGAAGACTGTGCATTTGTATAATCGATGCACACATGAATATTTCTAGACTGTATTTCATCCTCGCGGTCTTCATGGAGCTTTACTCGGACCGCAGCTTTTGTCTTCTTCATATTCATGCGGAAATAACGCGGAGCGCGCGCGCAGAGAGTCATGCGTGAAGAATCTCTCTTATATCATTTCCTGAGTGTGCATTTGAACTGGTTAAAATTATGCTGAAAACAGAATTTGCACTGCATGGACTGACATTAAAAATTCTTCGTTAACTAACTAATTACTCATATTTATTTACTGATAATGTGCATAATATTTTTTTTCTCTACGAATTAGACTTACTTCTAAAAGTTCACTACAGAAAAAAACAGTTAACAGTCATTAAAATTAAAATATTTTTATTCATCAAGGATGCATTAAATCGTAAAAAGGGACAATAGAGACATTTATAATGTAACAAAAGATTCTATTTCAAATAAATGCTGTTCTTCTGAACTTTCTGTTCATCTGTGAATCCTGAAAAATAAAATGCATCACAGTTTCCACAAAAATATTGTGCAGCACAACAGTTTTCAACATTGATAATAATCAGAAATGTTTCTTGAGCAGCAAATCAGTATATTATACTGATTTCTGAAGATCATGTGACACTGAAGACTGGAGTAATGATGCTGAAAATACAGCTGCGCATCACAGAAATAAATTACAGTTTAACAGATATTCACATAGAAAACAGCTGTTTTAAATTCTAATAATATTTCACAATTTTTACAGTATTTTTGATCAAATAAATGCAGCCTCGGTGAGCAGAAGAGACTTCTTTCAGAAACAAAAAATCTTACCAGCCCCAAATTTTAAACTGTAATGTGTATTAAATGTATTACAGCATTTTGGGAAGAATATTTTCACCATTATCCATAAAACAAAAGTTAATTCATTAAATATAATGAAATATATTTTTGATTAGATTTCAAAATATGTCACACACACACACACTCACACACACACACACACACACGGCCAGATGGAGAGACAATTACTGTATACTTGATATCCTAGTAGACATAAATTAGATAAGTAAAGAACAAGCAGGAAACAGAGAGACATTGAAATATAGGTGGCACCATTGCTATATAGAGCACATGATTTATTTAAACAAGTGTGAGACTGAACAAATACAGTACATACCTTAAAACAATACAGGGTAGTCCTGGGACTCTAAACAAGATCAAACATGATCACAGGAGAACAAAAACAACACTTTATACTCATATACTGTGCATTATATAAGTGTAAGATGAGATGGATGAGTCTAGTGGTGCGTTCTTTTGATCAGCATGTAACGCTTCAAATCCAGGCAGAACATTGTTTTTTAGATTAGATTAGATTCAACTTTATTGTCATTGAGCAGAGTACAAGTACAGAGCCAATGAAATGCAGTTAGCATCTAATCAGAAGTGCAAACAGCCAATGTATATAAATAAGCGTAAATATGTGTGTATAAATATATATGTATATATGTGTGTGTGTGTCTGTGTGTGTGTGTGTGTGTGTGTGTGTGTCTGTGTGTGTGTGTGTGTGTGTGTGTGTGTGTGTGTGTGTGTGTGTGTGTGTGTGTGTGTGTGTGTAAATAATATAGTGCAATGTAAATACAGTACAGTAGGGTGCAAGTGAGAAGTATAAAACAAGAAGGTGCATTATTCAGAATGACGTATTTATAAATGTATAAACATACGGTCAGTGACTATATCAGTGCAATGGGCATCATGAGGTAGAATGTACAAAGGAATGTGCAACAATAATAACAGATGATGCTGTACAGTTTAAAATAAAAATTTTTTTATAAATAGTATTAGCTGGGCCGAGTAGGATAGAGTGTTCAGCGGTTACATTTTTAATTTAGTAGGCTGACAGCCGAGGGAAAGAAACTGTTCCTGAGTCTGCTGGTGCAACAACAGCGAAGACTCCTATAACTATAAAATCCTATATTTAGGTGAATCATAATGGCAGCAGTGATAAGCATGAACTTACATTTTATGGAAGAGCAGCTGACATTTTGTTCCATGGGATTGTGGGTAGATGATGACAGAAATATCAACTGGAAGCATAGAGACTCAATATCAGTAGATGAGGTGCACACTTAAATGACAAACACATGCACATACTCACCACGAGTGACCTGCTTACTGCTCACCAGTGTCTTACCTATATTACATCACTTCCTGTGAGAACACACACACAGACACAGACACACACACACACACACACACATGTTGTGTATTCATCACGTTATGGGGACATTCCATAGGCGTAATGGTTTTTATACTGTACAAACTGTATGTGCTACTGCCCTACACCAACCCTCCCCCTAAACCTACCCCTTACAGGAAACTTTGTGCATGCATAGATTTTCAAAA